TAGACTGCTGGGGCCAGCTTTGCCTCTGGAACAGGAAGGACACCATTTCCTGTCCCTGCCCTCCCCAGCTAACCCACAGTCTCTGCATGTGGGTCACCTCGGCCCTGACAATGGGTGGACACTCACACACACACACACACACACACACACACACACACGAGAAGCAGCTGGCCTGGGGTACACCCCAGCACTAGAAGGGCAGAAAGTACCCTAACATTTCACCATCCCACAGCAACGGGGTGAGCCTCTCAGACAGGCAAACGTCCGGCTGAGTGGGAGAGGGCCACACCCAGGGCCACACTGTGGGTTGTGTGACTCCATGCAGTGAGGTGTTCAGAAAAGGAAGACCCACAGAGACAGGAAGTGAGCTGCTGTTTACCGAGGAGGTGGGAATGGGGAGTGTCTGTTCATGGAACTTAAATTTCGTTTTAGGGTGACGGGAATGTTCTAAAATTAGAATCTGGCGATGGCAGATATCTCTGTCAACACACTGAAACACCATGGAGTCATACTTTGTAAGTGCATTTAACTGCACAAATTACACCTCAAAAACCCTACATTTAGCACATGATTGGCCCTGAACCTGGACAGTGATGTGGCGAACTTACCTGGAATTTCTCTGTCTGAGAAGGAGGAATGTGGGGACAGGAACCAAGCCCTTGACTTTGTGTCCAAGCCTCACCCCAGGCGTGTGTGACATGGGGCAGGTCCCTGCCATCCTGGAGCCTCCATTTACAATGGACTTGAGAGGTCTCCCCCAGGTTCTTACCTCCCAGCAGCCCCTGGGGCTGGGGAGATCCAGGGATCCCTGAGCTGGACTGACTGGGTGTGTGCAAGGTCCTTCCCCGAGCACAAGCTGCTGCTCCCACCAGATTCCCAAAGTGGGCCTGGGGCCCACCCACATCATGAAAACCCGTTTCCAACAAATGCTCCCAAGGGCTCTGCAGACTGCAGAGTCTGGGGCCGCAGCGCTGTTCAAATTGGCTTAGTCTCTGAAATCTGCACTTACTTCCTCTCATTTGCTTGACAGGTGATTTTTATTTTTTCTCTGAAAGGAAGCGTTTATAGAGGAGGGCAGGAGAGACTGGGAATTGCAGCCCATTTACTCACTGGAGAAAAGATAGCCTATTCAACAGACGGTGCAGGCAAAACTGGAAATCCATAGGTAGCAAAATGAAATTAAATCTCTATCTCTCACCCTGCACAAAAATCAACTCAAAGTGGATCAAATATTTAGGCACTAGAACAGAGACCTGAGCCTAATAGAAGAAAAAATAGTCTCAAATCTTCACCACGTTGGCCTAGGATCTGACTTCCTTAACAAGACCCCTAAAGCATAAGAAATAAATTGAGAATCAATACATGGGATGAATTCGAATTAAAAAATCTTCTTCTCAGCAAATAAAACTATCAACAATATGAGGAGAGAGCCTACAGACTGGGAGAAAATCTGTACAACATGCACCTCTGATAAAGCAATAATTGCTAGAATATATAAAGAACTCAAAAAACTTAACACCAAAAAAAAAACTAAATAACCCAATCAATAAATGAGCTAAGGAACTGAACAGACACTTCTCAGAAGAAGAAATACAAGTGATCAACAAATATATGAAAAGGTGTTCAGCATCTCTAGCAATTAGAGAAATGCAAATCAAAACTACTCTAAGATTTCACCTCACTCCCGTCAGAATGGCAATCATCAAGAATACAGGTAACAATAAATGTTGGTGAGGATGTAGGGAAAAAGACACACTCATACATTGCTGGTGGGACTGCAAATTAGTGCAACCACTATGGAAAGCAGTATGGAGATTCCTCAGAAAACTGGGAATGGAACCACCATTTGACCCAGCTATCCCACTCCTTGGTTTATACTCAAAGGACTTAAAATCAGCACACTACAGTAATGCAGCCATATCAATGTTTATAGCAGCTCAATTCACAATAGCTAGACTATGGAACCAACCTAGGTGTCCTTTAATAGGTGAATGGATAAAGAAAATGTGGTATATATACTCAGTGGAATATTACTCAGCTTTAAAGAAGAGTGAAATTATGGCATTTGCCAATAAATGGTTGGAGTTGGAGAATATCATGCTAAGCGAAATAAGTCAATCCCACAAAACCAAAGGCCAAATGTTTTCTATAATATGCAGAGGCTAATTCACAATAAGGTGGGGGGCACTAGGGAAGAATGGCATTACCTTAGATTAGGTCGAGGGAAGTGATGGGAGGGAGGAGAGGGGATGTGGGTGTAGGAAAGACAGTAGAATGAAGCAGACATTATTACTGTATGGATACATGTGACTCATGACCAATATTATTCTACAACATGTACACTTAGGAAAAGGAGAAATTATATCCCATCTATGTATGATATATCAAAGTGCATAAATGCATTCTATTGTCATGTATAATTAATTAAAGCAAATAAAAAATTAAAACAAAAAACCAAAACCTGAGATACATCAGAGCTTCATAAAATGTCAGAAGTTGACACAGGCCTGCTGGTTAGAAGCAGGGGTGCTCTTCCTACGCCATGACTGGAACGAGGGTTCTATCAGAACCTGCCCTCAGCAGGATCCCTGGGTGGTGCCTGGCCACCTCTGGGCCTCAAGAGACTCACAGGAAGACTCAGGGCCAACACAGGCAGGTGTACCAAGGGAGACACTGAGCCAGTTATTAAGTTGAAGCTGGAGAGGAAAGGGCAACCTTCTACCTGCTTTGTAGTAAAGGTCTAAAGAAAACCACAGCTCCTGCCCTCCAGGAAAGCGTGGCCTGCCGAGGAGACCCAGTCGCGAGCTCACTGCTATAACTCCTTGCTCTGTGCTGGGACAGCAAAGATCCCAGGGGCCATGGGCCCTCTGATGGGGTCACCAGGTGGGCAGAGCCTGGAGTGTGTCTCAGCACCCACCTCCCCACACATGAGCAGGTCTGTGCCCAGGGCCCAGGGGGCTTACTGGGGCTTGACCAGGAAGCAGCAGTAACTGAGGAAGGTGGGTCAGAGAGGATCCAAGCCCACAGGGGAGCATCAGGAGGCATGGAACCCAGGGGCCACAGGCAGTGATTGTGCAGAAGGCATCTTGGCATTGTCCCCAGAGGGACGAGGCTGCCAGAGCACTGCTTGCACATCTGCCTCCCTCCCTGGCTGAGGACTGCTCTAGGGGCTGCCACATCTCTGCCATTTCCTCCCTGCCCTGGACAGTGGTGAGCAGCTTCCGCTAGAGGAAGCCACAGGCAGAGCAGCTACAGATCAGCTGCCGCGGGTGGGAAGCTTAGCCCCTGCTCACTGCTGCTGCAGGGAACTTGGCAATGACCGAGATGAGGGCAAGTTGCACCTCAACAGCAAACGCTGCAGGTGAGGAGGTGCCAGATAGACAGAGGAGGGCATGTAGGGTGCTGTCCAGGGAGGAAAGAGCAGGGTGGGTCCAAGAGGAAGAGAGAGTTAGCTGTGTGGGAGGACCACAGCCTTTGAGCAAACTCCAGACTATGACCAGGGTGGCCGGCTGCTGGGAGCTGGCCCTGGAGGTGGGCTGGGCCAGTGTCCACCATGATGGAACCAGCCTGCTCCTATTCAGTGTGGGGTTTCTTCTAGCTCTTTCTTGGGAAATGTATATAGTGTGTACTGTTCTCAATCAACACCTCAGGACCTCAGCAATCCCAGACATGGTCTCCCTCTCTTCAGAAATGGTTCCCTACTCCTGACTCTTCAGAATCCTCCTGGAAGAAGTGAGGACCAGGCCTTAGCTCACCTGTTTTGGAAGAGGGTCCCTTTCTTAGTGGGCTTCATGAAGACCAGGAATGGAGTGGCAGATGGTTTGGCAACAGTTTCCCAAGTCATACCTGTGAGTTCCAAAGTGTCAGAGGCCAACCAGCCCAACTCTGTTGTTTTATAAACCGGGAAACTGGCCCAGAGAGGAAGGAAGGGGAGAGAATTCATGCACTGATTACATGCTGTAGGACCAGCCCGAAGCCCAGTGCATTCACGCGAGAGGGACGGGGCAGAAGTGGGAACCAAGAGGACACTGGCCCAATGTCTCACTAGGCCTCTCCCTGATTATGAGGCTTCAGGGGCACGACTTCACATCTCAGTGCCTCCTCTGTAAAATGACAACCCCCACCTGCTGGTGTGGCGGTGAGAAAGTGCTGCTTTTGTGGGCTTCTGCAACACTCAGATCTCCATTCACAGCCTTAACTTCAGGTGAACGCAGGCGTGGGTGACAACTCACCTGGGTCTTGGAGATGACATGATGTCTTACTGATTTAAGTATTCCATCTCTTAATGCTTATACTCTATAGGTGTTCCACCAAAGAGCACTATCCTATGTCAAACTCATGGAGAAAGAATGACCATTCCTGAATCAGAAGAGACACAGAAACTCAGGAAAGTGACAACTTAGTCAGGGTCCCCCTGCTTTCATCCCAGCCCACACCATTTCCTAAGATTTTACCCAAATTCACCAGCTCAAGGTCTTTTGGGATCCCTCTCCCTGTTCTCACAGACTGGCTCCCAGCTCTTGTCTCCTGTTATAATCTGGGTTCTACCAAAAGCCATGGCCCATCCAGGTCATCTCCACGGCATCCCCCTTGGGGCAGCTCTGTTAAGCATCCTGTAAGTCATACTAACAATCTTCACTATGATCTACTCAGCAGTGAATTTGTGCCATAAGGACTCCTGCATTCTTGGTTGCAACCAGAACAAAGTCAGTCTAGCCAGTTGAGAAGCTCTTGGATGTGCCCAGAGTGGAGCTGGGCCCAAGACTTGATGGACGTGGACACGTCGGCAGGTCGGTCACTGCAAGTGGGGTGCCGTTGGTATCCTTGCTGCTATTTCCCCTGCCTTTTTCTCTCAACCTGTGCTTCCTTGGCATGGCTGTTAAGGCTAAAACTGGGTGCTCTTCTGGTGGCACAAGGCCACACACGCAGCACTGCCTGGATCTAGTCTGTCAATCTCCCTGATTTCCAATGGACACAGAGACACAAAGCCTAATAGCAGATAGGAGGAAAAATCCCATTTAATGAATAAGTTGAACCCTCGTCACTCATCGCCAGTGCAGAATACGACAGTGACTGCACAGATGGGCTATCTGAGGCCAAGTGGGCCTCCTGCTCCTCCCAGAACCTGAAGCTTCAGTCCACCACCTGGGTAGGTTGAAGGGAGATGGAGCCTGGGATGGCTGCTGAATTCACTTCCCCACCAGCTCCATCAAAGAGGGAGGAGGTCAAAGGGAAGTGGGAATGAGGAGGAAGAACTGTAGCTGCATGGGTGACCATCACTCCCTCCTTCCTGGATGCAGGAAGGAGATGGGCAGAGCTGATGGGAGGAGAGGCTGGATAAGTTTCCTTTCCTCCCGAGGATGGTTTTGATGTCAGGGAGATAACAAAGTCAGGTTCCCTGGGCAGGATTTCAGAGGTGGACACACTCAGAAAGACTTGGTAAGAAGAGCCGACGTGGCTGTCCTGAGCTTCAGTGTCTTCACCTATGTGTGGGGAGGCATCAGGACCTCTGCTCAGGGCTAAAGGAGAAAAGCCCCAGAACAGCATTCAGAGAATGCCCCCCACTTCCCTTTGCTTACACCCCACTGCCCAGTGATGTTTGAAGGCCCCTGGAAATGGCATGTCCTCTTCAGTGGGTAATAAGATTGTCACATTTGGAGCTTCTGGGTTGAAAACCTTTCCAGAGCCCTGGGTAGTTAGTTTATTGCAATATTGGTTCACACTCAGTTCTATTTTTAAAGACCCAGATGGGAACTTTGGGTAGATGAGTGCCAGCAACTGAATTCAGCTGCATTTCAGTGTGGGCAAAGAAGCAAACAAAATGGCGGCCCATTGACCATGAACTAGGAATGTCGTTGCTCACTAGGCCTCAGGAGGAGTGGTCATGAGGAAGAAGTGCCTGATCTGGAGAAGCTTCTGAGCAGCTGGGAGTCAGCTCTACCAAGTGAAAATCACAGAAGGACAGTAGTCAGTCTAAAATATCTCACGGATCTTCACCTGCTGAGGCAAATTTGAGAAGCCCCTCAGGACCAGGAACCATTCTTAGGGGATCCACTGCTTCCTTGAATTTTTTTATGACGAAATCAACGGAGCAAAATATAATTCATTAAATGCCCCAAATAGAAGGAACTCAAGAGGGATTGATTCCTAATACAGAGCATCTACCTGGTCAGTAGAGCTACCTACCTGGAGGATTATATACTCAGGGAGTCCTAGTCCTGCATTTGAGGTGGGGCCAATCTTCTAAAAAAACTCCCCCAGTCTCTTTGGTAAACATCTCTGGTGAGAACCACAGATCTCACCCACTAATCTCATCTGCCATTCTCCTGAAACCCTGCTGCAGGTGAGCCATGATTTCCTGGAGCAGAAACATCGTGAGAGTGCCGCCCATTCATTCCTTCTAGCCGCCATGACTTCCACGTGGCCAGAGGCGAGTCTGGCCAACCCCAGGCTCTGTGCTGGGAGTTTCTGCTCAGCCCTGGGTGAGGCTCCACCTTGGTCCACACACAGCTTCTTCCCAGGAGTAAACAACTCTCAGAGCAGAGAGGCTTGCTGCCCTGTAAGTCGGAGGAAGCCAGATAGAAGAGGGCCTTTAAGCAGGACAAAGGGCAGCAGGTGACCATTCAGGCACAGAATGCAGCAGGGGCATTCTGTGAAGTACCTGGGCTGTGGGAGGCATGACCAGTGCAGGGACTCGGTGACTTGTTCATGACTGGATCCCAACACCTCTGGGAACTCAGGGCCGAGGGTTCTGAATGGAAGACGGTGCCTTCCCTACTCATCTGTCAGTGGATTCTTAGATGTCTCTCTCCATCTTCCTTCTCTACCTATAATCCTCTTCTCCCTCATCCTGCAGAACCTGAAATCCAGGGTGTTGGCCCTTGATGCAGGTACTTCTCACCACTAGAGGCTCTGGCATGTGCCTGCTGTGTAGATGGGCAGGTGTCAATGTCTGAAAAAGAAACAGAAATGTCGACGACATCCCCATGTGTCACATCCCCCATGTTTCCTAGCACCCAGTACAACAGTTTAGCTCAAGTCTCAGTCCAAGAGTCAACATGGGCTGCTTGGACTAGAGGCTGTCAGGAGGCCATATCCGCCCCTGCCTCCACAAGCAAAACACGGGGTGCCACCTCAGTCTCAGGGTCCTTGGGTCTGCACACATATTTGAGCTCACCCCAAGAAGATGACAGCATTATCCTGGGTACTGTCTATTGTCTGCCATTTCTGCTAGCATGTGCCTGACCCTGGGAGCACAGTAGCACTCACGTGCTTTGTCTTTAGAAATGATGCTCAGGTACTCTCATGGGTTTGAAGTGGAAGCTGTAACTGTTGCTTGTCACCCTAAAATGATTTATTTCACTTACTTGTTTTCATGTCATTTTGTCCCCCAGGACTAAGTGGTATTCCTTGCTCTATTCCCAGCACCTCACCTAGCCCAGGACTGACAGATTAAGAGCTTGATACAAGTTTGTTAAATGAACAAGTCAAAGAATGGATGAATGAATGGATGGATGGGTGGATGGATGGATGGATGGATGGATGGATGGATGGATGGATGACACCTAGCATCATCTTCTGTACTCAGTATTCCAACTGTTTCCAGCTGTGTGCTGAAATTGCCGTCTATAAGCCTGATTTTTCTCTGCCTGCTAATTTAGACACTTTGCCAACAGATCAATTATAAAAATCTGTGTTAAATAGGAAACACAGCAGGATGCAAATAGCTTTGAAGGCAGACATCCCTGGATCTGAAACTTGGCAGCGCTGCCGAATTGCTCTGGGCAGATCGCTTGCCCTTCTGACCCTGCATAGACAGAAGCCTCCAGGGAGCAGGGGTCCTGAGGGGTGCTCATGTTCCCCTGCAGGGTCAAGGCCCTGCTGTTTTATGTTCAAGCAGAGGAATGCCAGCTCTTAATAGGCAGAGTGGCTCAGGGGCCAGGGGAGTCTGGAGACTCAAGATTCCGTGGCATTTAACCCAGCTGTTTCCCAGCCAAGCCTTGGCCCCGGCATAGCTGACCTCCCTGAGTGGGAGTGTGGCCTCCTCTGGAGGTCAAGAATTCTGACAATTAAGTCCTCGGCCTTCTCTACTCTCCTGCTGCAGGGGATGGAAGCCTCTCTAGGTGCTAGCCGGGGGTGCCTGAATTCCATGCTAAATTCATACTTGCCAATTAATCACTCTGGCCTTTTCATTTTCATTCTCCTGAGTCTCAGTTGAGCTTCATAATAGCCACTTCAACCCACTGTCCTTATATTTAGTCCTTATCCCATGTTTACAAATGCCTGCTATCCTGCACCAGCTAATGAATACCTTCTGCTTATAACCATCCGGCTCACCACCAAACTGCCCCGGTACACAGAACTGGGGCATCTGGGCTCCACCTCCCACCAGGAATGGAGTCCTCATGGCCAGACAAGCAGTGTTTATCCATTCCCAGAATCTCAACTCAGTATCTTTGATCTCAGACAATTCTTGGAACCAATTGCCACGGGTCAGTCAGTTTCTCCATGAAACTGATGGTAGAAATTTCCAGGCAGGACAGTATCCAAGAGTGATTCTGTAGGACAGAGGGGCAGGATATACAGTGGAGGAGAGGGAGAAATTGAGCTGCTATTCCAAAGCCCAAAGCAGGCCTAGACCAGTCCCAAGGGATGAGAGAGGATCTTGGAGATGCCCCATCTGGGGTAAGAAAGTTCCCCTTCATAGAAGGCCTGGCCATAGCAAGGTGGTGCCATAGGGAGCTGTCACCAGCTGAGGTGACATGTTTCCCAAACCTGATGGGGCTCTAGGTAGCACATCAGGAGCCCTGCCCCACAAGCACTTGTTCCACAGCCTGGTGTGGCTCCCTGCCCACCCCTTCCCAGGAAGGACCCAGGACCGAGTACAGCTGACCCACCACGTCACCCCTTACCTTCTCCAGAGAAGTCTGGAATTGTTAGGGAAGTCGGCCCCTGGAGGTTGGGGTGTCCACGTAACTTGCCCATCAGGAAGGACAGTCAGGTCTACCCCAGAAACTGCAGACAGGAAGCCCGTCCACAGAGGAAGGACAGGGGTAAGACAGCCAAGCAGAGACGGAGGGAACAAGAGGCAGAGACCTGGAGACTCTCTGGCCTCCACTTTCAAGCCCCCTCTCAGAACTCAGCCAAACCCACAGCCTCGGGTCGCCAGGACTCGCTGCGTCCTTGGAGCATTTTATTTCCACTTCGCTTCTACGGCTGCACCCCAAAGTCCCGATAACAAGTTAGGCACAAAACCAGCCTTCCTGCTGCCTCCTCCTGTTCAGACGGCTGCTCCTTGCTCCTCTGTTAGCTGTTTCCTTCCTGTAACAATAGCCCCTTCCCCAGATGTTTGTGTCCTTGATGGAGAATCCTTCGAGAGATTCGGAAAGCTACACAGACTGTGGTCTCAGGTTTTCCTTTGTCCTCATGTGTATCCAGGCTTTTCTTTCAGGAGAGATCATGTGATAGAGTGAAAGCCCAAAGCTTTTGGTGTAGGCAGAACTGGGCTTGAATCCCTGCTTCCACTATTAATAAGCAATTTGAACTTGGTCCAGGCACTCACTATAACAGAACCTCAGCAACTGCAACTGCGTGATGCTGATGAAGACATCTCTCGTGCGTGGTTAGGAGAGAAGGGAACAATGTTTGTGGAGTGCCTCAAAGAGGGTCAGAGGAGTGTTATTCCCAACCTGATTGTCATTACTCAAATAGTTGAGGCCATCTCAGATCTTCTGTCTTTGTAGTTACAAAAGACAGACCCTTTCCCTGCCTGCTTGATCCATCTTCAACCAGAAGGGGAGTGAGGGATCTATTGTTCACACAAGGCTCAGGGATGGCAGGAACCAGGTCATAAATAAGTCCCTGGGACACAGGTTTTGACTTTCTTATCTGGTGCCCTCCTCTACAAGATTCTTTTCTGAATAACCCCAGAAGAAACATTTTCTTCTGTCAGTCTTAAGAAATATCTTTGATGGGGTTCTTTTTTTTTGTCTTTTTTTGTGAAATATGATGTATTAAGAACTATGTAATGTTTTGAACGACCAACAATTAAAAAAAAAAAAAGAAATATCTTTGATCATCTTCAAACCAATCCTCCTGATTAGGGTGATTGGCTTTTGACTGAGGCTAATGAATAGGTCAACCTTAAGGGAACTATAGGGACACACAGAGAAAGGGTGCATTTTCCCAGAAAATCAGTGTGCTCTACTGGAAGAGGGAAGGGATGGGCAGTGTCCACTCTACCCTCTGGCTAAAACCGGGTGACTTCTTTCCGCCCTCGATAGTGTGTCTCCTGCTGCATGTTTGGTAGAGAGAGACTCACATTCCCTCCGTTTCCTTAGTTCCTTCCACAGCCCTGATTCTAGATGAAAATATACCAGCAGTCAGCCTCCCGGATGCTGTCACATGAGGAGTGAAGGAGTCCACTTTAACTGGGTGATCAGCATGTCTCCCCCACGGTCTTGCCAGGACAGATGAGGGCCACAGTAGTACGGTGGCAGTGACCCAGCCATATGAGGTGAGTCACTTTGGGCCAGACTCTGCACTCCTAGACCATGGTTTGCTCAACAACACATTGGATCCCAGGTCTTTCTGGAAACGACAATATCTCTGCAGTATTCCTCGGTAAAAACACAGGCAAGAACTCTCTGCCATTTCCCTCAGTCTTTTTCTTTTCAGTATTCATCTACAGGGGCGTGAACATTGGAGTCCAGAGCATCTTGGAATTCCTCAAATTCAACTCAGAAACAAGAAAAGAGAAGCTTAAAACAGTAAAGAGTTTTCAAACAGCAAATCCTTTCGAGAATGGATTTAGATAGGAGCCCGGCCCCGCAGGGAGCTCACCATGTGGGTGAGGGGGAAAGAGAGGGAAGGACTCAACTTCAGAGTCACCTGTCCTGCTGGCCAGCAGGGGCCTCTGACTTCCGTGCACCTCCCTAAGTGCACATCTCTCGCCCTTCTCTTGTACTGTGGGCCTCATTTTCAGAAAAGGCTGGGGCTTTGGAGCCCCATTCACAAACTAGGAATCGATGAGCAATTTTTTTTGCCTGGACCAGCTTAGAGAGTGGCAGGACAAGGAATAGGAGTCCTAGTATCTCATGAGAACCTGGATTCAGCTGACACTGAAGACCCCCGGCTCCACCCTGCTGCCCACAGCGGCACCCGCTGTCACTCTCTGTACCGCCTACCGGGTCGCTCACAGAGCCAGCGGGGGGAGGTAGCCTTCCATACACATGCAACTTCCTGTCCACATTCCTTAGGCGATGCAGGTATTGGTGATGGAGAGAGAGACCTACAACATTGTGGTTGAGGAAAAGAATATCGGTGGTGTGAACCTCCCCTTTGGTTTACCTAGCTCTATCCCACACGACAGACTCTGGCTGGAGATTCACCACATCCAGCTTCTTCCTGGGCACACGATCAAACTGTAGCTTCTGAAATCTTCAAACATGAGCCACACAACTAGTTCTGAAGAGTGAAACATGGCATCCGTGATCCACCAGGTCCAGACGTGACCCCTCAAATGCCCAACACAGTTTTCTGTGTCCTTTCCCTTTGGTCACCCCATGGCTGCATGCAGAAGACAGCAGAGAATTTCCAAGGCCCAGGGGCCACCCTAGCTGCTAACTGAAAGGCAGCTAGCTAAGTTAGTGAGTCACCTGAGCTCGGCTCAAAGTCACCCGCCCAACCACACGGCTTTGTATCAAAGGAAAAAATTTTAATCGTGTTAAACCACTGAAATCTGGAGGTTATTTGTCATAGCAACTTAGCATTAATTACCTTGATTAACACAGTCACTCAGTCGAAGGGTGTGTTCACACCGCGAGCTTCACCCCAGGGTCAACCCCTTTCACTGACATCAGGAAAGCAGCCAAAAGAAGCAGCACACCCAGACAGGGTCCACTCAGGGAACTGGTCCTTCTGCAGGTATTTGGACCAGTGACCACGGATCAGAAGTCATGGTCTGATCTCAGTCACACCCTCTGAGTCCTTTCAACTCTGCCAGCTCTCCATCTTCACTGCCCCGTCCCTGAACCACGCCACCATCGCTGTTTGCCTAGCAGTAACGTCCTCCAGCTCTCCCGGCCTCCAGTCTTCCTCTTCCTGACCTCACCCAGCAGCTGCTCTGACCCACCTAAAATTCCTGTATGATCAAGTGAAATCCCTTCAATGTTTTACAAATAAACACAATATCTCAACTCAGCCCTTTGTGACTGACCGTCCCCCACTCCTGCAGTCCTCGACTACCCCAACACACACGTGTGTGCGCACAAGCACAGGTGCACATGCACAAGTATGTGCACACACACACACACACACACGTACATGTGCACACTGGCACGCACGTGCTCCAGCCATGATAGATTTCTGTTATCTGCAGTCACTGTGTTACCTAGTTACTGGCGAGTTTTTGGCCTTAGACACTATTTTATCTTTTTACCCTCTTGGTCCTCTTTCCCCTGGCCTCACTGGTTTTCTCAGATGTCCCCCAGCACACATCTCTGGGGGTCTTCCCTGCTCCCCACTAGGCTGCATGCTCCTGGAGAGCACTCTCCAGGGCAGCGTGAGGGCCCATTCACTCTTCAAGGGGCTGAGACTCGGCACTGGCACCAGAACACTGGAGTGAAGAGCCAGACCCTTTTCCCCCTTGGGCTTCAGTGTGCATGACAGTAAAGACCCCCGGGAACCCGATGGAGGGCTGAAGTAAGAAGGAGACTCACTGGCATCACGCTGCAGGTGGAGTACCAGGTCTGTTCCAGGTGCTCCACTAAGTTTCACCTGGATCATCTCATTCAACCTTCAAAACAGTCTTGAAGTAGGTATTATTACCCTCACTTCACAGACGCAGAGGTTGAGGCCCAAAGGAGTTAAGTGACTTGTCCAAGGACCCACAAATGTGTGAGAAGATCAGTATTTGAATTCAGAGCCGATCTCTTCAAGCCCTGAGCTCTGGCCAGGCACGGTGTGGATGGAATGAGCAGAGACATGTAAACGGACAGAGACGGTCTTCCTGTTGTGTATAGACTTGACTGAATTTATGTGTTCACGTAACTGATTCCATCTCCTGGAGAAGGGAGGGCGCCCGTCCCGTTAGTCTCAGGAGCTCCAGCACCTACCCCAGGGTCCAGCATGGATCCGGTGCTTTAGACAAGTCGGTTAAATGAATAGAAGGAAGGGAAGAGAGAAGGGAGAGGGGGAGGGAGATCAACTCCGTGCGTGGTGGGGCTGGGGTTCGCCTGGTGCCTGTACAATCCCACACTACCATAAAGTCAATCGCAAACCAACCAACAAGCCTCACCTGGGGTTCGAGTAGCTAATAGGGGAACTCCATGGATTTGAGGACTAAAAATCGTTCTTGGTATAGTTCAGTGTTGTACCTGCTGAGGCTATTATTATGGGTTAGAAGGTTAAAAAGCAAAGCTGCTTTTATGTCATTTAGGGAAGCAGAGTATAAAACCAGGCACCCTGGAGCACCCTGGAGCACCCTGGACTGCTATGATTGTGGGGGGAGAGAGAGTTCCAGTCCTGCCAAAGGCCCCGCCCCGACTCCCTGCAGCCTAGCAGCCAGCAGAGGCGCTGGGAGCCTCCCCCTGAGAGGGCACGGACCTGGTGGGAGTTGGCAGCCCCAGTGAGATCCTGCCTCCTGCTGCCTGGCAGGTCTTAGGGGTCTCCAGCCCTGGCTTTCACCAGTAACGCTGACATTCCTGAGTCAGGGCACACTGGTGCCATCCATGTCGAGTGTGACTAGTGAGTAACGCAGCAACTGTAAAGCTAACACACAGGACTCGCTTACCCAGATGGGTTTAATGGCTACAAAAATGATGCCCAGGCAGGCGCCACCCTTCTCAGAGAAATTGGTTCTCATTCCTAACGTAAGCTCTCTATTGGTCTTCAATATCTCCCCCAAAATGGCGACATTCCTGGTGAGTGCCTGCATTCTTCCAAAAATGTAAAACCAACTTCAAAAACTGAAGATGTCATTGCTGAGGACCCCTGAAGGGTGGCTCCCGGCCCCAAGGCCGGGCTGACGTAGGGAGCTGTGGGCCACCTGTGGCCGTGGAGACCTGGAGCTGGATACAGGAGAGAAACGAGTGTCTCATTTTCTTTCATTTTAAGTAATTTAACCTTAAATCTAAGAACTGAAATGGAGAAAAATATTCCCCCATTAATTCAATGTCACCGAAACACTTTTAAGTATGTTTGGAGCCATGTCTCAGGTATATGAATCTATTTTTCAACTGCAACTTTTATGAGATCCTAGTGTAGATCAAGTGCCATGGAAATTTAGCCTCCAGTTGAGAAGCATCACGAGTGTAAAACACACACGGCACGTTGCGGGCTTAATGCAAAGGGAAGGATGTAAACTACCGCACTGAGAGTTTTTTTACTGATTGCATATTGAAATGATAATAATTTTACTATTTGGAATGGGAAAAATATGAGTAAAATTATTTTCATCTGCTTCTTTTCACTTTTTAAAAACGAGGCTACCAGGAAATTTTGAAGACTATATATGACTCACAATATATTTCTACCAGACAGCCTTGCTGCAAAGGGTGTTTCCAAATGAGGCTGATCATGTTTCCATCAATAGTCGTTTTGTGAGAATAAATCTTTAGCTTCCTGGAAGTTAAAAAGTGAAATGGTTCCGTTGGATGCAAAGCCAAAAGGTGTCTTGGAAAGGCTTCTGGAAGAGAGAGGTCGACTGAACCCAGAAAGCACCTTGGGGCAGCTTTCAACTGGGTGGTGACCACCCACCCCCACCCCCCCACCATTCCACCACGGGTAACGCCAGCTGTGGCAACATGACAGCCTCACCCTTCATCCAAGCCACCTAAACAATTTCAGAGGGAAGAGGAGTCCCATTTCATGGCTAAGAAAATTGAGTCTCCAGGAGAACAGGCTTCATGATGGAACTCAGAAGAGAAGGAGCTGTTCTTCCCACAACTCTCCTGGCAAAGTCTTCCAAGAAGATTAAACAAACCAATGTAAGGTTTTTTAAAAAGGCAAACTACTCCCATAATGGTGGCTGTTTAGGCCAAGCTCCTGCCTTCCCCACACCCGGGACACCCAGAGGTGCGCAGGGATTGTCTACGAGCCATGGCAAACAGGAGCTCCCACCCGGGGCACAGACTGTGCCAGGACCCTCCCTGCCACACCAGGAGGCTTCTCCTGGGCCCAGGAAAGGCAGATGAAGGGCACATCAAAGCCAGTCATGGTGCGATGGCATGGAGGTGAGATGCCACCTGTCCTCGGCAGTGGGCGAGTAGTAGGGCCCCTTCTGATGGAGTGTGTCCACTGAGCCGTGGGGTAACTCGTGACAAGATGTGCCCTGTGTGTTCCATCTGTGCATTTCACACTGCAGCTGTGCACTCGCAATGTGCTGCCAAGAAGAGACTTAGAGGGCAGCACTGGCCTGGGCATCACAACATTACCATTGTCACCATCAGCGTCAACGAGAGCAATGACAACCATGATGATTCTTTGAGACCCTAAACTACGGCCAACACTGTGATTGGTTCTTCATCCTCCACCTCCCTTGACCTCCATCTCTAGGCTGGGACAGTGGCTCTCCTTCCTGCCTTCCAATGGTACTCGCTGCCTTTTAGTTGCATGTTTACGTGGAGAGACTACAAGTAGGACAGAGAGGGGCCTGTCTGGGACACAGGCAGTAGACCTTGCAAGGATGTTTGTTACTGAAGTGACTTTGAGGGCAATGGTGCCAGGGGTGGGGTTGCCTGGATTCCACAGCTGGACTTGGTCCTGAGTCTCCTGACACTCTGGCCTGGGTTCCTTCCAACCCACCAACAAGAGCTGACCATCTGCTTCTGGGTGTGACCCTGGGCACTCCATGGCCTGGGTAAACTTCTTTCTTCCTCTAGGCCAAGACTCTCCCAGGTTTCACCAGCCACACCTGCACTTTGGGAGGTGTCACACGTAAGTGGCTGCAAAAGAACAGGAAGGTTTCTGAGTCACAGGAGGCTGTGAAAAGGCACCTGACCCTGGTGTAATCCAGACTGTGGTTCCAGTAATGTGGGGAGTCCAAGAATCTCCAAGAAGAAGAGACCTGAGAGTCAGAAGGACAGACCCTTACCATCCCAGTGCAGATTTCGTACTGAATGCAGAGTGCAAATTAATCCATTATTCTCTCCCCTTCTCCTCCTATGGCCCGGGCCCTGTATCTGAGGAGCAATTCTGGGTTCACTCTGCATCCCCACCTTTGGTCATGGCGGAGGCCCCTTCATGGTGGACCTGGGTGAGGGAGCCTCAGTCAACCTGCTCGGGCCCCTCCACCCCGACCCCACAGGCTTTCTCTCCACGTTTACAAACCCAGGCCAGTACCTCACACTCACCAGAATGGCCACTACCTAAGTAAACTTAGGTGAAGTGTGGGTGAGGACGTGGAGAGATCAGGAGCCCGGTGCCTGCTGGCCAGCGCGTACCCAGTGCAGTTACCATGGAAAGCAGCTTCTCAAAACTTAAATCTAGAATTGTGCACTTCCAGACCATCGGTTGGTTCTACTTCTGGGTACATACATGAAAGAATTGCAGCAGGATCCCCAGGAGATGCTTGAACAGCCGTGTTCACGGCAGCATTTCTACAATTGCCAAAAGGTGGAGGAAGCTC